GGCAGAGAGAACCAACATTTAACAAAAATATCCCTGGAACTCCTATATCTGAGTGAGCGCAATTCACCCGCTCTGGACCCCTGGCCCAAGCCTAGTGTCTAGAGCTGTGTTCTAGAGTAAGGGGCTGCTGGAGCTGTACGAGAACCACTCCAGGGTTTTGAGACGCTACGCTGTCATCACGAAGGCTGACATGGCTCCCACGCTCAGTTCCACAGCTGCCACTCAACACTAGTTCTTTCCATTCTGGGCTCCAGCGTGACGACAGGAGTCTGACAGAGCCTGAGTCATCCTCCCTCCCACGGCCTAAGTGATTCTTGCCCAGTTCACAGCAAGTGGGCCCTGTTGAGGCCACAGGAAGTGGTTCTGAGGGCTGGACCTGGTACACACTGCTCACTGTCACTTCCTGTTTCTTACCATAATGACCTCGCTTGCTCTATCTCCCACACCCAATAAGCTCTCCTCTCTATATCCAGCCTAGGCCTGCCCAGGGTCACTGGGCTGCTTTGCTTGTTCCTGGGGGGCTGGGTGAGGTCCTTGAGCCTGGTACTTCCTCCCTCTCCACTATGGCAAGGGGGAGGCGATCACCTGCTGCCCTGTGGCTGCTCAGCTCCGATGTGCCATCCAGCTGAGTTTCACCAACTCCTTCACTCCCATGTCCTAGTCTGGGTGCCAACCTCTGGGGCCCCTCCTGATACATCTAAGAGAAAAAGCTCCCTCCCTCTTCAGCACCGTGGCAGATTTTATAGTTCTCTATAAACAGACATGAAGGATCAAGTGGCATTTAATACCCATAAGCCGCTTCAGGCAGGATGAGTTTCCTCAAGTGTCTAAGACAAGGTATTTTGGGGAGCCTCTCCAAGGACAACTGTCAGCAGGTTTACCCCTCCTTAAAAGTGAAAGCAGGGTGTCAGCAAGGCAGCTTGTGGAGCAAGCCGGGTGGCCTGAGTTTGAACCCCACAACCCACAGGAAGGTGGAAGGAAGGACAACTCTACACAGTTGGCCTCTGACTTCCAGACAGGCTAGCACACCCCCACCTCCCACACACAACAGTAATAGTTAAAAAAAAAAAAAATGAAAGCCACTCCACAGCAGGCCAAGCTAACTAAGTGGTTTCTCTTTGTGCTAGGGACTGAACCTAAGGCTCTGCACACGTTAAGCCCACGTTCTATCTCGAGCAACTCTCCTGGCCAGCAGCAGATATTTCAGTAGCAGTTTGCATCCCTGTCCCCAGGCCACACTTAAATTGGGGGCACTCAGAAAGGGGCTTAAAAGGAGTCATTTTGGCGGTCTTTTTAGGTTGCCATTTTTCCTGGAATAGTGTAAGCTGAAATGATTTCCCTGTTTTTAGAGGTTTTTGTGGCAACATTTTAATTCTGGTTACTGTTGGAAAAGACCATGTAGACACGGGTGTGGCGCCAAGAACAGATGCTTAGCATTAAAATGCCCATCCTTGTCTCACAGCATGCTACACATACCATGGGAGAGGTCCCGGCCTACGAGAGCAAGAATTCTGCGAGGCCTACCAGAATAGGCACCGCTGGATTTGGGAAGGAAAGAAAGAAATCCTTATCCCTCCATCCCCCAACCCTGCAGAGGCCTCTTTATAATCACCAGGCACATGTGGAAAACCATTGTCTTTTATTTACTAGATTTCCACTCACGGCTGCCAGCAAGTGCTAGCATCCTGCCTGGAGTTCCACCGGTTTCCTGTTGTGTATGATCTGCTGGGAGGTAGAACACACTGACATGCCTTCAGTCCCTAGCAACAGGCTCAGCAAGACCTCAGGGTGAGTTTCTAGGAGAAGTCTTTATAAACCCTGTGGTCATTAAGAGTGGGGATAGGCGAGGCGAGGCATCAGGTGTATCCCGTACCCAACTGCAGGCACCAAATTTTCTGTTCCTGGTGGCTCTGCCTCGTCTGTGCAAGGTCAGTGAGGACATATGGACAGTTGGAACAGCCCTCCCTCTATCTCTGACTGAGGGAGACGCTGGGGCTGGTACACAATGCTGCCATTTGTGCAAAGACACAGCACCAACCAGGAGAAAGGCTTCCCACATCAAGTACCTTCCAGAACTTCCCAGCTTTGTTCCCAGAGGAAACACATGAAGTGTTTGTGCAGTGCAGGAACAAACAGCCAGGAAGTGTGGGCTGCGGTCCTTGATTGACTACTGTCAGCAAACCTTTAGGGCAGACCCAAGCGATGACACGATATCTTCTTAGGGGACGAGGCACTATGTGGCTTGTGCTCTTCTGATACCTGTTTCTAGAGTTTTGTGGCATCTGAGTTACTTCTGAACTCTGAGAGGGACTCCATGGACAGCAACAGAAAAGCAGCTTCTAGACCTGCAAGTTAGGTCTGTTGAGTGAAAGAACATTGCCAACCCTGTTCTGAGTTCACAGTGAATCCACTGACATCCTAGCTGCCAGTACATCAGGGCTGGCTGCAACAACTTACTGGTTTCCCTTACAAGTCATGAAATTTTTATTTTGTTTTGTTTGTTTGTTGAGACAAGGTCTTTCTGTGTAACCACCCTGGCTGTCCTGGATGTTGAGGCTAGCCTCGAACCCATAGAGATCCACCTGCCTTTGCCTCCCAAGTGCTGGGATTAAAGGTGTGTGCCACCATTGCCCAGCAAGTCATGAAATTTACAGGTGCACATTTTATACTTCTACAGGAAACATGATTTTACTTTAAATTTCACCCCTCTCAGACCATCACGGTTTACTGACAGGTATCCAAACGCTGGAGATACAAAAATACATAGCTCTGATGTGAGCTTCTTCTGAATGGAGCTCACAGCCAGAAAGGGAGACATACATACACATTTTCTGACGGTCAAAGCAGATGCACTCAAGGAAAACACCCAAGGAAAGTTGCAAACCGAAAACCACCCACGGCAGACGCTTTCAGTGTCAGTGACAGATCCAGTACAAAGAAAAACAGGCAAAGAAACTTGACATGCACAGGCATTACTCCTGGGACCAGGCCTTGCAGTTTGGGATGCTGAGGCTGCTGCATTGTCCCAGCGTCACTTTCGGCACTGAGGTGACCTGGGTGGAGCTGCTGGAACTCCTGGTCTTCGTTTTATCAGCATCCCTGCAAATGCTGATTAGAGCACAACCGTTTTTTTTTGCAACCTCACCCTTTGGGAACTCAAGGCTGGGTTGGGCTGCCTTCCCTCAGGCTTGTTCCTATTCACCAGAGACATGGTCAGGGTCAGGACAGTGTGGAGACAGGGCCAGGGGAATGCACAAAGGGGACCATTGACTGCTGAGTCTTTTTGGTGGCTCTGGCTCTGGGGAGGGGAAGAAACAGGGAGAAAGGACTCTATGAGGCAAGGGTAGGGGATGACTACAGAGTCCTCTTCCCCATGCACAGGAAGCTTGGATTCCTCCCAGTGGGGACTACAAAGTCATCAGAGCTGCCTCGATCAGGAGAAGGGAGCCCTGGGGACTGGGCATCCTGCGGCCAGGCTTCAAGCAGGAAGAAGGAGAGAATCCAAGACACACACATTCAGGAGTTAGATGCAGGGAAGGGATGACAACAGAATTTCCACTTGATAACAGGAATGCCACCAGCCGAAATGGACATAACCCTGAACTGGTTTGGGAAAAGGCCAGTTCAGTCCAGGGCCTCTCAGGTAGGATCACAAAGGCCAGAGCTGAAGAACCCGAACTACAAACTGGCTCCTATAAAATGTGCCCGATGTAGACAGCAGGGCTCACCGTGCCAGACTGCACACAACGAGGCTTTAGCTTATGATTTTACGTTAACTTAGCTAAGCAGCGTCTGTAGGTGTGCTTCTAGAGGATGCTTCTAAAGGTAACATGTGAAAACACTGAACATGCAAAGCAGAGGTCCTTCCCCATGTGTGGGAGATGGGAACCAGTGACCACCCATCCACAGGGGCTGAGGGGCTGGGCTGGGCAGTCCATCGTTGCCCTTGGAGCCTCAAGCCTGCACTCCACAGCTGGCTTTTCTGGTCCTTAGCTCATGGCCACGAGAAGACTGGCTGCTGAATACTTCTAGATCAGGACTTTGGGAAGGACTGGGGACAGTGCTCTGAGATTTGTGCCTTGCTTTTTCTAGAATTTGCTTCAAGCACCATTTTCCTTTTGCCCAGTTTATTTTTAGATAGGATCTTATTATTTAGCTCAGGCTGGCCTCAAACTCATGATCCTCCTGTCTCAGTCTTCTGAGTGTTGGGATTACAGAAGTGTCACCACACTTGGCTCAGCTTTGCCAATTTTTATTTATCCTTTTGGTACAACAAGCCATCGCCTTGAGCAGGGGATGTGAAGCCCCCACAAGTCCTGCTACTGACATGCTGAGTAGAGGGATGGTTGGGGGGACATGGTGGATAAACATACTAGTCCAAGTCAACTGGTCCCCAGATTCTTTTTTTTTTTCCGAGGCAGGGTTTCTCTGTGTAGTTTTGGTGCCTGTCCTGAATCTCACTCTGTAGACCAGGCTGGCCTCGAACTCACAGAGATTCGCCAGGCTCTGCCTCCCGAATGCTGGGATTTAAGGCGTGTGCCACCAAACCCAGCTGGGCTGGTCCCCAGATTCTTAACAGTGTACTGTTGTGATCTTAGGCCACTAGATTTCAAACATTTTAAAAGCAGTAGAATTTCAACATACATAGTAAAGCTTAGAAGTGACACCTTTAGTGCTTATTAATGCATGTCTCTGTTTAGTGAACAGCAGCAGCACAGGATACCCAATGCTTGCTCTGACACCCCACATCAGACCTAAGACCTGCATTTGGTAGGATGCCTTCAAGAAGATCCCACAAATGGCATCATGTAAATTCAGATGTGGGAAGTCCACTGCATGTGACACCAGCCAACTGGAACCACAAAGTAAGTCTGAGGATCTAAAAACAACCCAGGCTTGCATGGGAGGAGGCCCATAGAGGACACCTGGAACTGCAGTTCACCTTGGCTTCTGGGGGTTCTTATCAGGAAGTAGCAGAACCCAAGGAAATCCTTCCTTACCGGCTCGTCGTCTGGAAACAGGAGTGTAAGCCAACCAGGAAGGGGTTGCTGGACGCCTGCTCGAACACATGTTTCTCTGTCTGCACCCAGTCGATGTCCTGAAAGAGACCGGGCAGCGCTAGTGAGGCTCCCAAGCACTGTTCAGGGCCCTGGAGGGGGCAGGGCCAAGACGGGAAAGGCTTTTTCCCCTCTGTTTTTTTTTTTTTTTTTTTTTTTGTTTTTTCGAGACAGGGTTTCTCTGTGTAGCTTTGCGCCTTTTCCTGGAACTCACTTGGTAGCCCAGGCTGGCCTCGAACTCACAGAGATCCGCCTGGCTCTGCCTCCCGAGTGCTGGGATTAAAGGCGTGCGCCACCACCGCCCGGCTCCCCTCTGTTTTTGAGAAGGCAATTTGGAGGTAAAAAGGAACCGCCTATCAAGAAACACATCACAAGCAGGTGTGGCGGCTCAGCACCTGTGGTCCCAGCACTGAGGAAGGTTAAGGCCAGGACTGTTGGCAAGTGCAACACCAGCTTGGGCTACACATTAAGTTCCCAGGCAGCCTGCAGTCTGTGTTACAGAATGATCCAGTCTCAAACAAAAAACAAATACCAAACTATCACCATCACTATCATCCTTCGCCCCATAATCCTCATCCTGACACCATCATCGCCACGGCCATCACTACCATCATCCATCCACCCCCACTTCTGTCATTACCATCATTACTGTCTCCAACATCACCTCCATCACCTCCCCATCCCAAGACGCTTGCTGGGTTTGGCTCTCCACACACTGACTTGTGCAACCCACGAAGGTTCTTGAAAGGCTGTATTGTAATCAGTTAGGACACAAGGAAAGTAAGGATGAAGGACTAAGCAGATTCCCTAAGGCCTGACGCCACTGAGTCTGCAGACAGGCCACAGTACCACAGGGCCATCTCCCCCAACTCTGTGCAGCGGCTCAGCGGGATGCTGTAAAGCCAGACCATGGCTTGGCTCCACCACAGCCCCCGGGACGGGGGGGGGGGGGGGGGGGGGGGATAGGCTCCCAACCCATCTTGATGTGTAGAAAAGTGGGAAGGGTAAAGACATGTTCAAATAGTACTGTCTGGAAGGTTTTTGGAAAAGCAAATGATCAAATTCTTAGTTGGCACCCATTTAGTGAGCTGGAGACAGCCACCACTCCCCCTGGTATGCCCTCTGCTACTTCTGATCCCCAGGGGCTCCACCAGGTGGAACAGTTTCAGCCCTTCTCCATGCAGAGGACACCTAGCTCCACTTCATCCAGACTCCAGATTTGCTCACCCAACGGCTACCTGACCTGACTGTCACACTCAGGCGGCTCACACTTCAAGCAGCTGCCAGGGCACCCAGATTCTTGGTGGAAACCCAGTGGGTTGGCTGTCTTCCACCTCTCCCAAGCCTGGGCCACCCTGCACCAGCAGCATCATGACAGGTTCTAATTTATAGGAACACCTGGCATTGTGCTGGGCTGACACTGCAGTGCGCAGGAGGGGGGGTGTTGGGGGGGGTGTTGGGGGGCGAAGAGAGGCCTGATGGCAACTCAGCAGGGAGCAAGTCGGAAGGTCACCTCGGAGAACCTACCATCCAAGCCACTGGCAAACTAGCATCGAATAACAATGCCTGGGACCTGGAGGGATAATGCAGGTGAGTTCCACTGGAGAGGAGGGAGAGGGGCTTGTGTGTCCCAGGAGCCTCAGCTCCAAGCAAGCAGCGGCCAGGCTCAAGGACAGCAGGAGCCAGCGGGGCAGCCCCTCAGGCCTTGTTCAGAGCCATATCCTAGACAAAGCAACTCAGGGGAAGGTAGGAGGCAGATGCTTGGGAAGCAGCGGCTATGGTGGAGCCCTGAGGCAAAGGTGACTCAGAAAGAGAACCAGTTTCAGCTCAGAAGGGTTAGGCGGCACCTCAAGACTGTGAGGAGAAGTGACACCTGGTGGTGAGGACAGGCTTGAGTCATGGGTTCGCCCACTCACTCACTCAGCATCGAGGGACACAGGGCCAGCTTGACAGGCTGTGCATTGTACAAATGCACCCTACACGTGAAGGTCCCAAACCAACCACAGCCCCAAGTCCTGATGGCTGGGGTTGGGGTGGAGATCCTTTCTATGACCCGACAAACATGACAATGCTTAGTGCTGGCAGCAGCTAATGGGCAGCGTCACTTATCTACACACTGGCTTTCCTCTGCTCTGGAGAGACAGTGGGCACTCAGTATAACAGCAGAACAGCAAACAGACCTGAAGCAACAAGTGTGTGAAAACATGTCAGCCTCATCCATCATCAGAGAAGCTGCAAGTCAAGGCACACAGTGGGTACTCACATACGTACTGGGAAGGAAAGGCACACAGTGGGCACTCACATACGTACTGGGGGAAAGGCACACAGTGGGCACTCACATACGTACTGGGGGAAAGGCACACAGTGGGTACTCACATATGTACTGGAGGGAAAGGCATACAGTGGGTACTCACATACGTACTGGGGGGAAAGGCACACAGTAGGTACTCACATATGTACTGGGGGGGAAGGCACACAGTGGGTACTCACATACGTACTGGGGGGAAAGGCACACAGTGGGTACTCACATATGTACTGGGGGGAAAGGCACACAGTGGGTACTCACATATGTACTGGGGGGGAAGGCACACAGTGGGTACTCACATACGTACTGGGGGGGAAAGGCACACAGTGGGTACTCACATACGTACTGGGGGGGAAGGCACACAGTGGGTACTCACATACGTACTGGGGGGGAAAGGCACACAGTGGGTACTCACATATGTACTGGGGGGGAAAGGCATACAGTGGGTACTCACATACGTACTGGGAGGGAAAGGCACACAGTGGGTACTCACATATATACTGGGGGGGAAAGGCATACAGTGGGTACTCACATATGTACTGGGGGGGGAAAGGCACACAGTGGGCACTCACATACGTACTGGGGGGAAAGGCACACAGTGGGCACTCACATACGTACTGGGGGAAAGGCACACAGTGGGTACTCACATATGTACTGGGGGGGAAGGCACACAGTAGGTACTCACATATGTACTGGGGGGGAAGGCACACAGTGGGTACTCACATACATATTGGGGGGGAAAGGCACACAGTGGATACTCATATACGTACTGGGGGAAAGGCACACAGTGGGTACTCACATATGTACTGGGGGGGAAGGCACACAGTGGGTACTCACATATGTACTGGGGGGAAAGGCACACAGTGGGTACTCACATATGTACTGGGGGGGAAAGGCATACAGTGGGTACTCACATACGTACTGGGAGGGAAAGGCACACAGTGGGTACTCACATATATACTGGGGGGGGAAAGGCATACAGTGGGTACTCACATATGTACTGGGGGGGGGGAAAGGCACACAGTGGGCACTCACATACGTACTGGGGGAAAGGCACACAGTGGGTACTCACATATGTACTGGGGGGGGAAAAGCACATAGTGGGTACTCACATATGTACTGGGAAGGAAAGGCACACAGTGGATACTCACATACGTACTAGGGGGGAAAGGAACACAGTGGGTACTCACATATGTACTGGGGGGGTAAAGGCACACAGTGGGTACTCACATATGTACTGGGGGGGAAGGCACACAGTGGGTACTCACATATGTACTGGGAAGGAAAGGCACACAGTGGGTACTCACATACGTACTGGGGGGAAAGGCACACAGTGGGTACTCACATACGTACTGGGGGGGCAAGGCACACAGTGGGTACTCACATACGTACTGGGGGGGAAAGGCACACAGTGGGTACTCACATATGTACTGGGGGGGGAAAGGCACACAGTAGTACTCACATATGTACTGAGGGAAAGGCACACAGTGGGTACTCACATATGTACTGGGAGGGAAAGGTACACAGTGGGTACTCACATACATACTGGGGGGGAAAGGCACACAGTGGGTACTCACATATGTACTGGAGGGAAAGGCATACAGTGGGTACTCACATACGTACTGGGGGGGAAAGGCACACAGTGGGTACTCACATACGTACTGGAGGGAAAGACACACAGTGGGTACTCACATATGTACTGGAGGGAAACAAAAAAGCCAGAAAATAAGTGTTGGTGAAGATAGAGCCCCGTGCCCCATTGGCAGGAAGATAAAATGGCGCAACCATGTTGGACATAGTTTGGGAATTTCTCCAGAAACTACATCCAGAATTACCACATGACCATTCCTAGAAATACACAGAAAAGAGGTGGGTGGTGGTGGCGCATGCCTTTAATCCCAGCACTCAGGAGGTGGAGGCAGGTGAGTTCTAGGACAGCCTGACCCATAGAATGAGTTCTAGGACAGTCAGGACTACACAGAGAAACTCTGTTTTGAAAAACCAAAAAAAAAGAAAGAACGAAATACATAGAAAGAATGGAAATGGACTAAACAAACTGCTGCCTGTGGAAGTTCACTATTACTGTTCACAACAGTGCAAAAAGTCCCATACTCTAGAGAAAATGTCCATGAAGAGATGAACAGCGGGGTACAACATTACACTCAAAGGTTCTAATTTTGCTGCTGCAAACTTTGAAAGTGAGAAGCCATGACTCAGTGTAGCATTCAGTTCACTAAAGCCCACTTCCCCACTCCCTTTGGTGATGTCTTCCTGCACATCCATATCAGGGGACAGATGTGCACATCCCGAATCCCACAGACACTTGGGTAGGACATACACTTACCTCGTCATCGTGGACAAGTTCCTTCTTTACCACCTTCATGGCATAAATCTGATCGTTCTTCTTCAGCCGTACCAGGAGGACCTTGGCATAGCTCCCACGCCCGATGACTCTGATGAGGTCGAAGTCCTGCAGCCCCAGCCCCTGAGAGATTTTGATACCGTCTACCCCATCGATGACAGGCTTAAGGTCCTAGGGAGAGGTTCAGAGAAGGGAGGGGGCACCATTCGCCAGAATCCAAGAACTGTTCACCCTCATATGGAAGGCAACGAGGCCTATTCCTCAGCATGGAGCCACGTCTCATGTTCTAGCACCCAGCCCCACCTAACTCTGGTTAGAAAAACTATGAACCAAGACCGTGGGCTTCTCAAGGAAAGAGCTAGAAATACAGCAGTGCCTGCATGAGGGTTCTGTGGGGCTGCAAACTTGGGCATGTTCTCTAAGAGTGGGAAGCTTAGGGACCTGCTCTACGAGGGTAAGGAAAGTAGTGCATGCTCTGTGAGCTGTGGGGGGGGGGGGGGGTCTGCTCCACGAGGGTAGAGAGAGCAGAGCCCGCCCTTTCAGGGTGAAAGTGAGGGTACAGAGAGTGGGGCCTGCTCTGTAAGTGATCAGCAAAGGCTGTGAGCACAGCATGTTTTTCTGTTTCCCCACACAGATTTATCACCAGAGCTGGCTGCAGGTATGGGGTTGGATGGAGCCAGATGGAGCCTGTGGGTCAGATTCTGGGAAAAGGCCTGACTGAGGAACAGCTGAGGGCCTGCCAGACCAGGAAGGACAAGGGAAGCAGCTAAGAGGCGAGGCTTGGGAGCAGATACAGTGTGGCGAAGTCACAGTCAGGCCGTTGGTCTCATCTGAGCCAGGCACAACAATTTCCTAATACACCTGGGCTGCACTGAAATCCACGTAACTGTCCCAGAAGCAAACGGGCTTTCTGAAAAGCCCCCGGCAACATTAATCTTATCACTTACCTCAGAGTCATCTTTGATGTTGTCATGTTTCCGGGATGAAGAAATATAAGCAACTAGTAAAGAGAAAAGGAAGGAAGGGTTTTACAACGTCACAGGCGCACAGGGACCCAGGGAAGCCTCATCCCACGGCAGGGGCCTCAGACAGGACAGCAGTGCTCAGGGGCCAAGCCAGGAAGCAGCCACACCAGATCCTAGCTTAAAGAGTGCTAGGCTGAACCAAGCTGGTGAGGTGGGACACTGGGAAGAAGCTACAAGTCCTTTACTTATGACGAGGTCACAACCTATAAATCCATCAGACTACAAGTATTACATGCTGAAAATGCAGTGTGCACAGTTGTTCATTTAGGGCTGGTGCTGTGGTGCATGCCCATATTCCTAGTAGTTGGGAAGTAAAGGCAGGAGGATTGTACAGTTCAAGGGCAATTAGGGCTACAAAGTGAGACCTTGTCTCAAACAAATAAAAAAAGAGGGCTGGAGATGTGGCTCAGTTGGTAAAGTGCTTACCTAGTATGCACAAAGCCCTGGGTTTCATCACCAGTGCCACAGAAAGCAAGTGGGCAGGATGGCATATGCCTGTAATCCTAGCATTCCACTTGGGAGACAGAGGCGGGAGAATCAGACATTGAAGGTCATCCTTGTCTGTATATTGAATTTGAGGACAAGTTGGGCTGCATAAAACCCTGCCCCAAAAATCAAAACCATGGGGTGATGCTTGCTGCACAACTGTGAAGATCTGAGTTTGGATCCCTAGCACACCATAAGAGACAGATGTGGTGGAACATGCTTGTAACACCAGTGCTGGGGGACTGGAGACAGGATCCCTAGCAACGGCGTAGATACACACACTCTTGTGTGCATGCACATGTGAACATACAGTCAGAGGAGAAAGAGGAGGAAACACATTTAGTATACTATCAAATAACGATTGAATGGATACCTACGTTGAAAATACCAAGATGCGGTTGTGTAGGTAGACTTTCTTTCATACAACCACAATGTGAAAAATCTCAAGTAAAATCACTGAAAGTCTAGGACCATGTGGAGGCACAAGGTATACCACCTTCCAGTTTCTCTTAGGAGAGTGTGAATGGAGGGGACATAAGTTCATGGCAGAAGGGGTGGGGGGGTAGATGTTGGAAAAGCAGATGATGGATGGATATATGGGAGGGGAGGTGATAAATAGATGGATGATAAGTGGCTACATGGATAAGTAAGTGAATGATACATACATGATGGATGGATAGATGGATGTGTGTGTGTGTGTGTGTGTGTGTGTGTGTGTGTGAGAGAGAGAGAGAGAGAGAGAGAGAGAGAGAGAGAGAAATGGACAGATGGGTGGGTGGGTAGGAAGGGTATCTGAAGGAACAATCTCACTTTTTTTTTTTTTTTTGAGACAGGGTCTCACTATGCAGCCCTGGCTAGCCTGGAACTTGCCATGTAGACCAAGCTGGCCTCAAACTCATGAAGAAATCCTCTTGCCTCTGCCTCCCAAGTGCTAGAATTTAAAGGCATGTGTTACTGAATCTGACTCTGAATTTTTTTTCACCTTAAAAAGAAGTTTTTCCTCCTTTGTACTGTCCCCAAATACAACACCTGTGCAGCAGCTACAGGTCGTATGGAGCCACCTCCATGGAGGTCAGCTCTGTGTAGTGCCCAGTGTGTGGGAGGTACCTGGCGGCCTGGTGGGGGGTCACACATCAAGTGTTGTACAGAACAACTGAAATCAGCACAGAGGAAGAGGGTCTCAGCCCCAGGTTCCCAGTGATGAGATTACTGCCTGGCAGCTACCAGGGAAGGCCAGCGGCCCCACCCATTTCCGTGGGGACAGAGGGGTGGCTGTGCACACACAGTACTGTCCCCAGCCCAGCTCACCCACATTGACTCCTGGAGAGCAGGTAGGAAGGAGTCAGGAGGAAAGGCCAGGAAGACGGAGAGGAAGGCACTGCAGGGCTCAGAAGAGGGGGCCCACCCAGCTGGGGAAGGGGGCACCTACTTCCATCAGTTTCCTCTGAAGGAAGGTCTACACCATCATTCTTGTCATCTACTGGAGGCTCTTGGGAAGGCATGACAGAATCCTGCAAGAAAATGATGGTGTTGGAGTGATGGGGCAGGAGTTAAAACCCAGCTTTGATGTCATGACTACAAACTGCACCGTGTGTGTAGCGATGTGATGCTGGGTAGAGCACAGAACAGATGATGACTGTTACCTATGAGTCTACAGGCTGAGGTGGTCACTCAGTCAGGATCTTAGGTTATTGCCTTCCCAGCAGATGTTTGATAGAAGGGATGCTTTAAGCATGCTTGGAAATACCCCCCTGCCACACTGTGGACATCGTGCTGATAGCCAGGCTTCCGATGATCAGTCTAAGGGCTCTGGGGCCCCATGTAGCTGAAGTTATAATACAGACAGCTTATAGTGATGGCCCCTAGGGTCCAAGTGCTGGCCTCACTGAGCTCTGACAGGTCACATTTCTGGGCTCATTTCATTATCTTAAGGTAATGTGGACCTGTAGGGTGAAAGGTCCTCCTATGTGTCTTCAGGGTTTAGAGTAGACACAGCAGAAAGGATCTCTAGGGAGAGTGGTTTTGTGGGTGACTCATGCTCCAATCTGGATCCTGTTCTTATTCGATACATGGAATATGGATATGCCACTTCAGGGGCATCTTTCTTCCTCATTCTGGCAAGATGCAGATGAGCCAACAGCCTTCCTGGGGGTGGAGGCCTTGGGTCTAGCAAATATTGGGTAGGGCCAGAAAGTATTCTACACCTAGGCTAGGTGGCTCGGGCAGACTGGCTTAAAGTACAAGTGATAGAAAACACAGTTAACAACACACTAGGGGGACTGGGCCCTTCCGGTCCCACAGCTCAGGATGAGAGGTCCTGTTCCAGACTCTGCCCACAGTCATCGCTGCAGCACAGAGGCCTCCTCCTGTCTGGAGGTAGGATGTAATGTCACAGCTCCATGGAAAGAAAAGGACCAAGGATTGCCAAGGTCAACTTGGCCACAGGCCCAGAGGCCAGCCACGCTTCCCCACACCCCGACTCACCATATGCCTCCTGCAGGTCAGCGGGACGAGGACGTGGCAGCGTTTATGGACCAGCAGCTTGCAGTTGATGCACCTGTAGCCCTGCCTCGCGAGACCCCATATCCTTTCGCTGCACTGGCCACAGTACGCTCTCTGTGGATGGGAATGGCAGCTATCAGGCCCAGCTGGCCCTCCCAGAAGCCCATGCCACACTTAGAGAGTCTGGCTGAAAACTCAGGCAGACGACACCTTTGCTGATTTAGAAGATAACACATGAGCGGGGCCTGATACCTCCTTTCTGAATGCAGGCCTATTCCAGCTCAATAGTTCCCTTCTTGGGCTCACATGAAGGCCAGAGGTTGTGAGACCAGGCTGTGGTGTCTGCCAAGAGTCCAGCAGTCCAGGTCAAGAGGAAGCTCCTGATGACTCTCTTTCATATTGACTGTCGTCATCCCAAAGGTGACTGCTGACATTCTGACTTGGAAAAACTGTGAATGGCTGCATGGCAATTATGTGAGGGTTTTATTTTCCAGAATTTTAAACAGTCCTTTATTATTCATGATTCTAATGAATCTGAAAGTAATAACTGTCAGCCCCACTGGTGGTATGTCCAGACTTTTGTAATTTTATAAAGTCTGTGTGAGAAGAACTATGTTCAGAATCTAGTCACACTCTGGCAAATGACATACCTCTTGCAGCTCTGTGACATCTACATCTACAAGCAGAAATGTGGGCGCTCTGCTATCTCAGAATTATTAGCTTCCTTATGTGTTTTGGCTTTCTTTTAACCTTTTTGAGACAGGGTCTCATGTAGCCCAGGCTGGCACAAACTTGCTATGTTATCAAGAATGACTTTGATGCCAGGTGCTGGTGGCGCACACCTTTCATCCCAGCACTCAGGAGGCAGAGGCAGGTGGATCTCTGTGAGTTCGAGGCCAGCCTGGTCTATAGAACGAGTCCCAGGATAGCCAGGACTGTTTCACAGAGAAACTCTGTCTCAAAAAAACCAAAAATAAAAAAAAAAAAAAAGACTTTGACACCCCCCTCGCCCCCGGCTTCTTCCTCTGAGGCAGGGTTTCTCCCTGAACCTGGAACTCATTTGGGCAAACCCATTGACCCTTCTATCTCTGTCTCACTCAGTGCTGGGGTTACAAGCATGCATGACCATGCCTGCCTGGCTTGTTATTCAGGTGTTGGGATCCAGACTCAGGCTCATGGTTGTGCAGCAAGTCCTCATGGCCACTGAGCCATCTCTCTAGGCCAAGCTTAGATTTTCCTGCCTCCATTTCCTGGGTGCTGTGCTGTGGGATGTTCTGTATGGCAAATGTGTTGCTCTGATTGGTTGGTAAATAAAACACTGATTGGCCAGTAGTCAGGCAGGAGGAAGTATAGGCGGGACAAGGAGGAGAATAAAGCTGGGAAGTGGAAGGCTGAGTCAGAGACACTGCCAGCCTCCACGATGACAAACAGCATGTGAAGATGCCGGTAAGCCATGAGCCACGTGGCAAGGTATAGATTAATAGAAATGGATTAATTTAAGCTGTAAGAACAGTTAGCAAGAACTGCCAGCCTCCACGATGACAAACAGCATGTGAAGATGCCGGTAAGCCATGAGCCACGTGGCAAGGTATAGATTAATAGAAATGGATTAATTTAAGCTGTAAGAACAGTTAGCAAGAAGCCTGGTACGGCCATACAGTTTGTAAGCAATACAAGTCTCTGTGTTTACTTGGTTGGGTCTGAGTGGCTGTGGGACTGGCAGGTGAGAGAGATTTGTCCTGACTGTGGACCAGGTAGGAAAACTCTAGCTACATTGCTGGGATCACAGGCATGCACAACAATGCCTGGCTTGTCATGTGGTGCTGGGGTGGAATTCAGGGTCTTGTGCATGCTAGGCACACATTCCACTGACTGAGAGATATTGCCAGCCTCTTACCGTTTTGAGAAAAGGTCTTGACATGTGGCCCAGGCTGGCCTCAGCCTCTCCAGGTCTGTGATTATAGATCTGCATCACCATATCTGGACAACAAGAGCTACTCTTACCAGGGCTAGGACAGGGCAACTGCTGACCAAGGGCAGCACGAAACTGACAACATGGGCTGGACTAAGACCTCACACGCATGTATCCTAGGGGAGCTACCAAAACTGTACCAATGGCCTTTTTCTTATTTTATTTTCTTCTTATTTTTTTCTGAGACATGCCATCTCTATGTCACCTTGCTGGCTGGAAACCCGCTGTGTTGAACAGACTGGCCTCGAAGTCACAGAGCCACCAGTCTCTGTCTCTGGAGTGCTGGCATTAAAGGTACACGTATACTGCCACACCTGGCTAGTGGCTCTTTATTTAAAAAAGTCTATACTTGAATCATCAACATTTCAAAAAACATGCCATTAAAACAATAAAGCAAAACCAAAGCTCCAGGCTTCTATTCTCAGGAACTCACAGGAAATAGATTAATAGGATAAAAACATTTTAAAGTCTGTCTCACATGCTGCTAATTTGTTTCTTGTTCTGATTTTTCAATCACGTATTTTAATTTTTCAAATATATCAAACACTTGTTTTTGCATTCAGTCAGGCCAAGCCTTCCTCCTCAGTTTCTGCTGGCTCCTGACCAGAATGACTAGTTTCCTACTATGTTTTTTCAGTTGCTGATTGTGAGCCCAGATGTCCAATTTACTATCTGTGGGAATCCTTTCAGGTGCCTTCAAGAGGGACAGTACTTGCTTCTGCCAGCCACCTGGGGACACTGCTGGGCTGGACCCTTAGAGGGTATATGTATGAGGTCCAGTGTGAGGTTCCAAATTCTCTGAAGGAGTATTCCTGTTCCTCTGCCTTGCTCTACCTGGGAAGGGTGGGGCTCATGGGGAGACCCAAACCCATTTCTCTCAGGGCCTCAATTACTGGAGTAAATACCAATTCCAAGTTCCTATGAAAGGGTGTGCAAATCACAGCAGGTCAACCTAGCTCATGACTGCCACTCCCCCTTTTTGGTATATGAAATTTTACTGGCACATTGTTGTACCTGTTGGCACTCATACTCTCTGTGGCTTTTGAGTCACAATGGCAGCACCAAGTGTCCTTAAAAACTGAAAACATAAATTCTGGCCTTTCGTAGGAAATGTCTGTTAGCCAATTTAGTTGCTTCAGACAAAAGATCTCAGAAGAAATCCTTGACGGTCCTACCGGGTGGCATCTCCTAAACTTGCCCACTCCAAGAAGCTTCTTTTCTTGAGATCCTGGGGAGCACGCTCTACTGCTTCTATCTACTCACAACAAAAGACAAAGTATCATCTACCCAGCCTGCCCTGTAGCTCAAGGACCCATGTGTACCAGCACAGGGTAATGTGGCCACCACAAGGAAGACACTATCAACTGCTGTGGTTCATGCCCTGAGTGTGGGTTGCCCCTCTGTGAAAGAACAGCATGGGGCTGACTGTTGGAGGCAGATTCTTTTGGACAGAAGTAGGGCAGAATACATTCTAGTCATGGACGGTAGAGTCCATGACTGCACCCACCCTGGGGCTACCCAGACCCCACTGTAGCTCACACAGTTAACCCTAAGCAATGATTACATTCAATGCCCTTGACACTGTCTGAGAAAAATGTCTGCATTTAAAAAATATCTGTAAGGGTCAAGCTGTCTGCATTTACAAGCAATTACACCTGTTAGACACTCACAACTCTGCTCTGTCCTGGCATTTATCAAAAGCTGATTTGGCCAGGCAGTGGTGGTGCACGCCTTTAATCCCAGTACTCGGGAGGCAGAGGCAGGTGGATCTCTGAGTTTGAGATCTACACAGCGAGATCCAGGACAGGCACCAAAACTACACAGAGAAACCCTGTCTCGAAAAACCAAAGAAGGAGATGGCTCAGTGGTTAAGAGCACTGGTTGCTCTTGTAGAAGATGCAGACACAGCCATCTAGAACTCCAGTTCTAGAGGATCTGACTCCCTCTTCTGGCTTCTGTTGCCACTACAAGCACATGATACATATGCATACATGAAGCCAAAACACCCACACACATAAAAATTAAAAATAAGTGTCTCAAAGAAAGGAAAAAAAGGGGGGGGGGGCGTAACTTGCAGGAACTCCAAAATGGCACCCATTTGTGTTCTTTTGATCTTTTATTCCTTTAGGTTTTATTTATTACACATTTTTTTTCTAGGACTGGGGCAATGGCTCAGTTTGTAAGGCCTTGCAAACAGAGAGTCTGATCTCCATCACCCATGTGGGGGAAAAATCCCAGCACTGGGGAGGTAGAGGCAGGCAGAGCCCTGGGTTCAGTGGCGAGCTAGCTAGCCTACATTATGAAATCTGGCCATTCCCTATCCCAATAAAAAGGTAGATGGGCACCTGAGAAATGGTATCTGAAGTTGTCCTCTGGTGCACTCACCCACGCATCTGTCCATCACACACACACACACACACCCCTGCACCCACTCACAAACATGAATGCCCATATACATGCAGACAAATTTTCCTACATGGTTTCTATATTTGGTTTGTTTAGAAACCAAGGAAATCTGAATTGTCTAATGTGGCTAATTCTAAAAATCCCATTGGTCTCCAGTGCCTGCTTTTCCCTGGAGGCTACGTCACTTCTAGTTTTTATAATTTTCCTAACCTCACTCTCTCTGCAAGAGAGCTTGGATGTTCCATTCCCTTAACCAACATTCTCAGCATAATGGAGAGGAGAGTTCTTCTCCCATTATATTAATGCTAGACCTGTCCACAAGGCAGGTCCTATCCCTCTGTCAGATGGCTGAAGGCCCAGTGTCACTTTTAGATCCTCTTTTTGGGTCTCATAGGGGGACATTTTCCTTCTGAAAGCCAAAGTGAGGTTGGATGGCAAACACAGGGCCATGCGGGGGTCACAGCTCCTGTAGGACTCACATCGCATTCTTCTAGTTTGCCAATAAACTAGAAGGGAAACATGGGAAGGGACTAGGGAGATGGCTTAGTTGGTAGGTAAAGTACTTGCCATATAAGCACGAGGACCTGAGTTTGACCCCCCCAGCACTCCCACAAAAAAGGTAGGTGTGGTGGTGCATGATTATAATCCAAGCACTGGGAGTAGAGACAGGGGGACCCTTAGGGTTCACTGGCCAGGCGCTCTAGGTGAGCTGAGAGTTCCAGGTTTACCAAGAGACCCTGTCTCAAGAATTAAAGTGGAGAGCCAGGTGGTGGTGGCGCACGCCTTTAATCCCAGCACTTGGGAGGCAGAGGCAGGCAGGTCTCTGTGAGTTCGAGGCCAGCCTGGTCTACAGAGCGAGATCCAGGAAAGGCACAAAACTACACAGAGAAACCCTGTCTCAAAAAACCAAGTGGAGAATGGCAAAGGAAGACACTTGATGCCAACTTTTGGTCTCCACCCAAACCTGTACCTATATGCACGTTGTATCCACATAGGTATGTGCACACACATCCACATGACCACACACACTATAGTGAGAGGCTCCTGGTGATGCCAGAGTCCTGGCCTGTGTGCCAGGACTATACACGAGTGTACAGGCTTTGTCTTGGCCATTAGTCATCCATCAATGAGGGAAACAAGTATAAGTTACAATAGTACTTCCAGATTCCTCTCCAGGACCCTGAGAGGAGGTGGGCTGTTGGGCTGCCTGAGACTCCTGCTCTGGCTTGTGACAGGTTCACAGGAGAGAGGGCACCTGGCTGTACAGATGGCCAGTTGCTTGTTTCACAGAGAAATGCGGGGGCTGGCACCGGGTGCTCCAAGGCCAGATGTCTCCATTTCTCCACATTCCCAGCAGACAACTTCTATCCTGGCTATCTGGTTAGCTTACTGTAAAATTCCATGGACATATCCTGCTGGGCAGCAGAAGGGTAACAAGACTCATCATTCCAGCCCCTGCTGTCCTCTGAGCACTCTGTGCTAGCACTTGACATGTGGCACCCTTTTACCTCTCTGTGTTGATGACATTAGGCCTTTCCAAGGTGAGTGACAGTCTGTGGTTCCTCTACTGTCCACCGTGGCTCCCAGAATTCTGCTCTTACTGTCCTCCGCCCAGCCCCCAACCCCCAGGGTCCCAAAATAACCTTTCAATTGTTAGTCACGTAAAGAACAAGGCAGTGTTCGGTATGCATCTACTATGTGTCAGGCCCGGGGAGTACTAGGAGCATTTTAATGGGATAGCAGAGACACAGGGCTATTGGGACCATCCCCAGCCTGGGTCAGTGTACCCTGACATTATTTGGGTTCTACTGTGCCTGCTGTATCCTGGATTCCCAGCATCCTCTCTAGGCTGACTTTCCAGACACCATCTCCTCCAGGAAGTCTCTAGGATCTCTAGGCAGCACCTGGCTGTCTTCCCAGGCACTGGCCCATGTCTCCCCTGAGCCCAATGCTGTCTACAGTCTGTTCATTGCTTCTCAGCCTTTTGGCCAAGATCAAGTATACATATACCCCTTGCAGTTGTTCAGGAGCTTTCCCTCTGCCCCTCTGCCCTCCAAGCCTCATCAGCTCCTGGGGTAGGGGCGAGGGCAGTCCCAAGTTCTTGACACATGATGGGCACCCAGTACACAGGTCCAGGAGGTACAGCTCACACTCACAGAATTACCTAGGAACATAGAGACTAGCATCTACATCGACTGGGCTGACTTACCTAATGTGCCTGGAGAACAGACCAGAGAGGCACATGACAGTGAGTATAAAGGGAGTCTCAGTGGCTGCCCTTAAGAGGCAGTGGCCTCCATGTGGCCCTCACACTATGACAAATACTGACTTGACCTGTGCTCCTTCTTCATCCCTCCTACCAGCATTCATATGTTATAGCATTCACATGTTAGGGAACATGACAGAAGGGAACTCTTGTCTAAGGAACAGCTGGGCTGGGGCTGACCCCATAGCTTAGTTGCCACAGTTCCCAACCGTTAGGCCTGTGGTCACTCAGTGCTAAAGAGTCTTCCCAGCACGGGACAGAGTGGAAAAGCGCAGGGTTAGCTGGGGAGCGGCACTGGAGTGTAATGGTTCCAACAGTCCTGCAGTGAAGGTAGTCCCATGTGTTCACAGGACCCACACCACCCTAGAGTGTGCTTGGTAGCCACAGAGGACAACAGGCACTGCCCTTCACTGTGAAAGGGAGCCACTGCAGAGTCACCAGTCACTGCACACTGGAGAACAAAGAAGCACTATGACAAAGAGACCTGAGGGACTAAGCCAAGTGCCACTCAGAAAGGACTGGCCACTGGAGTACCGCAGATAAGAAAGTGGAGGCATCTGGGACTTTTGGGATCCAAGGATACCCTTACAGCCCACCGGAAGCACCATGTGTTCAAACAGGCAGGCAGGCAGGCAGGTCCTCAGAGTGGAAAGGCAGGGCCAGAGACAATGAGCAAAGACGATGTAATCAGGGGCAGGAAAGGACACCCAAGACACAGCCGCATTCTCATGCAGTGGCTACCATTCAGGGGAGTGGCTGGAGAGGAGTTCAGCAGGCTCAGAGTAGCCCTAGCTCATCTCCACAGCCCTGCAATACTGGTTAAGCTGGTGGCTCAGGACCTTTTCCAGGGCATGCTGAAGGAAGCCCAGCCCAGCACAGCAAGAGCAAGGGCACTTCTTGCCTTTTCTTTACTTGTAGAAGCAGTAAAAATGACCCCTTTTTGGGAGTCACTGGAGCGATACACTCACCCTGTTAAAGCGCTTGGCTTGGAAGAGGTGGCCGTTGGCGCGGTACAGCTTCCTCCATCTTCTGGCCCCACGGCGGTAGATGGATTCTAGAAAGGATGGGGAAATTGTGTAAGGAAGCAGCACTGTGATGCAGGAGTCCTGCCCCCGAGCCCAAGGTATAGATGGGGACAGGCCATTCCTGTCTAGGTTGGCTGGAGCTGGCTACAGTCCCGGCTGAGGGATGCCGGAACTAAAAAGACAATTTTTCCAGGTAGAGGCTCCCCTTTACCTCTCCTCACATGATTCTCATGTTCTCAAAGCTGTGGCTGCTGGAGAAGGCAGCTCAGGTAGGAGAGGCCCTGCAGGGTAGAGGAGATACCCGGCATCCGGCAGGAACAGGCAGGCTACAGCAGTAGGGTATCAGTTCCTCCGACCTGGGCCACTCAGTTCCCAGACTGCTTATTCCCAACTTGTTTTCCTTCACCCTCCTTCCCTCTGGGCAGCTTCTGAAAACCAGGCCCTTTTTTCCATACAGGGAAAAGGTTCAAATGGACCATGATATTTACATATGACCATCCAAGGAGGGAAAATGGATGGCTAGGCTGGAGGCTACAGTCAGCCAGTACACCAGCACTGTTTCAGTGACTCACCCAGGCCCAAGGTCCCTCTCACCCAACAGACCTTGGGGCAGAGGAAGGTCCAGCTTTCTTGAGTATTTGTTCTGAGTCCAAAACTACCCCCAAAAATCACTTTGTGACATGTACTATTCATACTAGAACAGCTCTTTTTAAAAAAAAAAAAAAACACCACTAAAGTTCCAACCAGAACCATACATAGCCTGATGCTATTCACGACCCCCAAATGCCACAAGACCAGCATACAGAGACAAAACCTCCAGAAACACAAGGTACAATGGGAAGCTTTGTGCTTTTATAAAATCCAGTAGCAAGAGCGACTTTCAGGAGCCCTAATGAAAGTGCTGAGAATATTCCAAAGTGGAGAGTGTAACGGAATGTTTTTAAAACAAGCAAATTACCAGCTTTAGCTGGAAACTGCTGAAATCAGGTCACAGTAACTGCAAAACATGCTTCTTTCTCTTTAAAGGGGAGATTCAGTGAGGAGCCGGAAGCCGCAGTTCCTCTGGGAGCTCAGGAAGAACGAAGGCTCGCCCACCACACCCAAGTGTAGCTTCCTCACAGGCCCTGTTCATGGCTCTGATGCTCCCAGAGTGCAGCCTGAGTGACACTTGATGGAAGCCGAGCACTGACTGGTAACCCCTATAGGGTTCCAGCCTCAGATGAGACCAGGACAGAAGTAGTGCCAGCCTTTGTCCCCCGACTTTACCCACCGGGGGGATCAGGCCCATGGAAGGTATACACAGTGGGAGGGGCTAAACCAGCGTCTGCCTGCCCCACGGTTCTGATGAGCCCGATGAGTCCAATGCACCTTTGTCTATGGTGACAGGGCATGGCCTGCCTCCCCTGGCCCACCCACATTCCTAGGGAAACCTAGCCAAGGAAGCCCAGGTCCTTGGCTCAAACAACCAGCCTTGCTGTGCTCCTGTATGGCTCCCACACCGTCTCATATCTAAGGGAAGGGAAAGAGTGTGAAGTGACCAGGGGACAGAGACGCAAACTCGGGAGGCAACATGGGGACAAACCAGGACTGAGTCCTTTTGTCCTGTATTTCCCCATTAAAGTCTTCAAGCTCAACTATACAGCACTGAAAAGTGAAGGGCAGCTCCATGCTATCCTGGACTACAGAGCAGTGAAAGGGATCTAAGGTACCCTAGAAGAGGCCAAGGCAGACGAGAGAGCCCTCAACAGGACAAACTTCCCAGGGGGACAGGAAAGAGAACCCTGTATTAGCCCCAGGGTTTGGAGCACAGGGCTGACAGCAGAGCCTTGTCACCCAGAAAGCCTGGACTTCACTGCCGAGGGACGGCTCTATCCACCAAGCACACAGGATGGAGTCCTGACTACTAGCGGGGCAGTATTTGGAGACGAGGCTGAGAAGGTGAAGAGGGGGTGAGGTGGTGCCCCAGTTAGTGCCTTCCCAAGAAGAGAGCAGCGCTAGCTCTCTAAAATATAAGGACACTCAAAAATGTGCTGTCTGAGAGCTGGAACCAGATGACCATGTGCTGGCTCCTGACCCTGGTCCCCCAGACTTACACCACGGGAAGGCAAACTCCTATGGTGTATGTCTTGGCATGGGGTGTCTCATTACGGCAGTCAGAATGGACTAAGACCCTTGCCTTCTGCCATACAGACATTTGGTCTTTTAGAGAATAAGAGGGTGAGCATCAACAGCAGAATGACAGAGATCTTACAGAAGAGGATGTAGGGAACGCGGAACCTGTGGGGAGACTCTGAAGATTCTAAGAGCAGCAGGTGAGCACAAGTGAAAACTTACACCTGCAGGTCCAAGTGGACCAGCCACATGCCCTCAGTACCAGGCCTAAGTAGTCGATGCTGAAGGATGTCTACAACCACAAAAGAATGTACACTGGGGACGGGGACAGCACAGTGGATAAAACATTTGCTGCAGAAGTATGAGTACTAGAGTGTCGATCCCTGGAGCCCACCACAGAAACACTAGGCAGATATGGCGGACATCTGAAATCCCAGCATGTGAGAGGCAGAGATAGGGTCCCCGGGGCAAGCTGGCTAGCTAGACTAGCTGGAAGTAGCAATTCATATATGATCTATCAGGTGTTTTATATATGTATGTAATTATACACATATTTATTATAAATTAGGGTGAGCTAGATGACACAGAGCCTATGTACACATGTGAAGGTGTGTGCACGCCCACACATACACATTTGCCTCCACACATGCAAATGTACACACACACCACACATACACAGGAGAAATAGAGAGAAGTCCAACACAAAAGGTTCTCTCAACGTTAGCTGAAGATCAGCTAAATTAATATCACACAATCTGCCATGGTTTCAAGGAAGAAGGGCACCAGGGCCATCACTCATGCTCTGGGGAAGGCTTAGGTTGGCACAAAAACAGGTCTATGAAGAGGAACGTCTGCTCCTGTGGTGTAGAAATTCCATCACTGCTCGATCACAGCCTGTGGAGAGCTCCCACAGTGGCTCCCAAGCCTGTGAGAATGCTTCAAGCCACATGTGGGATGGGGCATGCCCATAATCCCAGCACTTAGGAAGCTGAGGCAAGAGAATGGGAAGTCAAGGCTAGCCTGGGTTACAAAAGGAGACTGACTCTCTAAAACAAAACAAAACAACAACAAACAGACAAAAAAACTCAACCAAACAAAAACAATGATTTTTTTGTTGTTGTTTTGCTTTGTTTAAAATAGGGTTTCTCTTTGTAGCCCTGGCTGTCCTGGAACTTGTTCTGTAGACCAGGCTGGCCTCAAACTCAGAGATCCACCTGCCTCTGCCTCTCGAGTGCTGGGATTAAAAGTGTGTGCCACCGCCGGGCGGTGGTGGCACACGCCTTTAATCCCAGCACTCGGGAGGCAGAGGCAGGCGGATCTCTGTGAGTTCGAGGCCAGCCTGGTCTACAGCGCGAGATCCAGGAAAGGCGCAAAGCTACACAGAGAAACCCTGTCTCGAAAAAACAAAAACAAAACAAAACAAAACAAAAAAAGTGTGTGCCACCACCTCCCAGTAACAATGATTTCTTTTTTTAATGCTTTAAAATGTATTTATTTAGGGTGGTGGTGGTGGCGGCGGCGGCGGCGGCGGCGGCGGCGGCGGCGGCGGCGGCGGCGGCGGCGGCGGCGCACGCCTTTAATCCCAGCACTTGGAAGGCAGAGCCAGGCGGATCTCTGTGAGTTTGAGGCCAGCCTGGTCTACAGAGCGAGATCCAGGACAGGCACCAAAACTACACAGAGAAACCCTGTCTCGAAAAACAAAAACAAAAGAAGAAAAATTTATTTATTTATTGCTGGGAGTGGTGGTGCACACCATTGATCCCAGCACTCGGGAGGCAGATGTAGTTGGATCTCTATGAGTTCAAGGCCAGCCTGGTCTACAGAACGAGTTCTAGGACAGCCAAGGCTATACAAAGAAACTCTGTCTCAAAAATCCAAGGGGAAAAAAAAAAACAGATTTATTTATTTAGTATGCGTATATAAGTATGTGTACGCCATGGCACACATGTAAGCCAGAGGACAACTTGAAGGAGTTGGTTATCTTCTTTCACCATGTGGATTCTGGGGATCCAACTCTGGTCATTAGACTTGGCAGCAAGTGCCTTTACCTGCTGAGTCATCTTGCTGGCTCCCGATTTCATTTTTCCCCTCTTCAATGTGTATGTTTATGTGCTTGAGTGGACATATGTGTACCACGTGCATGTAGGAGGCCACAGAAGCCAGAAGAAAGTACTGGGTCCCCTGGAACTGGAGTTACAGATGGTTATTAGCTGCCATGTGGGTGCTGGGAACTGAACCTGGTCCTCTGCAAGAACAGTAAGGACTCTTAACTGCTGAGTCAACTCTCTAGCCCTCCATCTCACTTTTTTTTCTATTTCTGAATATTTTATTAGGGCAAAACAGTATTTGTGGGATGATTCATATCAAGTAGGTCCCCTTTTAATTATTAACATGCACTCTGAAAATCGACACCCTCCACAGCCTACTATGGATAGCTTCACAGTCAGCCGATATAAAATGAAATTTTAAAAAATCATCATCTGGCAAGAAGGCAGCGGGCTACAGAAGAGTGGCATCCATCTCACTTTTTAACTTGAAGGATCTCCTATGGTTTGGGTTCATCCCCCAAAGCTCAAGTGCTGGAATCTCAATCACCAACGTCACGGCCTGCTGGCACTTTGGGAGGCAGTTAGGGTCCGATGGGGTTAGGTGTAAGTGGGGCACTCTATACCAGGGCATTAGCAGCTTTACAAAGGGAAAGACACAAGCTAGCAAGTTGCGCTGTCTCCCACGTGGCTCTACAGGATGACACAGCACGAGGCCCTCACCAGAGGATGACACAGCTTTCTGTCAACACCTTTTAAAACGTTTGAAATAAACCCTGTTTCCTGCAAACTACCACATATCAGGCACTCTGAGCAGCAATGCAAAATGGATCAAAACTTGCTGTGAATGGCAACTGTAAAGGCAGGATTTG